TCTTTGATTTCAGAAGATATAGCAGATGGAGAGCTACATGCTATACTTGAATTTGCTGAAAAGTCTGGAAGGTTCCGCAATAGAGACCTTTGATAACAAAGCTAGGTTATATTTACGCTATAAATAGGGTGAGAGATGAGGTTACTACAAAGAGACAACTCTAAGCAGGAACAAAACTTCAGGAAATAGAACCGTGGAGAGGAATGTAAATAGATCACATGACTCGTATATAGCCTGCATATCCTATATAGGATGGGTCAGGGTAAATGAAAAATCAAATCAAATCAAATCAAATCAATCGTGACAGACACCTCCTGAGCAACTGCCTATAGCATCCAAACAGTGGCAGCCTGAAATGCCTCATAATATAGCTGAACTGGAGCAGCAGTTTACTGTAATCAAGAGCTATATAGCAAGGCGTTCGAAAAGCCCACCATCTCCAACAAATCTACCTCTAAATCAATAAGTTGCGCAAGGAGAATGAGCATCAGAAACGTAAGAGGCAACTCAAAAGGCTTGTTATAAGCAAATCTACTGTAACTCAAGTACCCAATAGCTCTATTGCTATGCAGCCACCTCAAATACCTCAGGATGCTGTAAATCTAGGTGGTGGTGAGGGCTCGATCTCAATAGTAAATGCAGCAATTGCTGAGGCAGTGCAGCAGATCACATGTTATATTTGTTGTGGATATGATTATTTGGCTTCTGAATGTATGAAATATAGATAATTATTATAATAATTAAATATTTGGTGCTACAAATGTGGAGCAAAAACTGCAGGTGCTGTAAAAATGACCGCTCGATAGTGGATTACGTTAACACCTTGTCTTGTAAGCTGTCACATAGTCGCGTTCGTATATATACTGCTTTTTTCCTTGTTAAATAATATAGTTCGGCTGCTTTAGAGGTTCCAGCGCATCTCAGACTTAAGTAATAAATCTATGTCACCGCTCCCTGACCGAGTCTACAGAGAGCTCATTTTTCATCTGTTTACTAAATATGTCCATGATGAATTCTCCATGCAATTCTTATCATTTTTAATGACTGTAATTGATGGCAGACTAATGATAGAGCCTTATCATCAGGCTGAGAAGTTCCTGCCAGCCATGTGGCGATAGGCGGACGTCACTTCATGCAGTGTTGCCACGCTGATAAGTACCTGTCACAGGTCACGTGCACCTGACTAATCTAGCGCCTTATTTAGCCATCGCTTGAGCGAGATCACTTAAGAAGATACAACCACAACCACAATGGTCTCACACACTGCAGATAGTCAATAAAAGGACCACCTCCTATCCTCTCAATTATCTAGTTTTCCATCCATCTATCATCTTCTGTAGCTCGTTAATACGCCGCGCACAGCAGTCCTCAGCACTGCCTAGCATCGCTAGTGCCACAGTGCGACAGTTATGAGCCCGGGCAGCGTCGAAATTACGAGCTACAAGCAGATTCCTGATCCATATGGCTGAATGATCAGACATGCACAGAGAGCAAGTTAAGACTCCATTCATCTGAGGCGACAGTGCTGCGAGAGACGTCTCGCGGTTCCGCAACACCTACCTATAGACCATGATTCATAGGAGGTCGTTGACGATGCTCAGCATCAGAAGGGCTAGGAAGACTAGTAAGCTGCCAATGACCCTGATGAAGTGTAAACCGGCATCTCGAAGCCTATATCTCCTCAGCATATATAACAGAAGACCAAGCCAGCAGCGAGCAACTTGACTACGCACAGAAGCGAGGCACCATGGCTGATCACCTGGATAAGGCCTTCAGCGAGCAAGTCAGCAACTGCATGCGCTATTTTTCAACCATTCAGCTGTTGCCAACAAGGCACTGCTAAAGGTTAAACAAAGCAAGGAGATACCTTGTAAAGCTCCAGCGATATCGCTCAGAGAGAAGCGAGCAAGATAAGTCGCTAGGAATGCTTTACATAGCAAGGATACTCAGCTAAGTTCTCTAAAAAGACTGCTTATCAGTACACTTGAAGCAATTGTACAAGCAATCGCTAACTGTTTAAGCAAGAAATCAAGCAAATAATCAAGCCAAAACAATGGCGATTACAGCATCTAAGGTTCCGCAGCTCAGTACACCACAGGACTGGATACAATGGTTCAGCATGGTGAAAACAACTGCAATGGATCAAGATGTGTGGTCCTACTGCGACCCTGATAAAAGCAATGAGCTAGTTCAGCCAGGCGATCCAAGTCAGCTAACAGCTACCCAAGAGCGGCTGTATACGCTTAAGATCAACGATTACGAGCGGAAGCGGAAAGGACTAGCCAAAGTCAATGCGACCATCCAAGGCACAGTTTGCGAGGACTACCAAACCTACCTTGAAGATGCCCACACACCTAGGCAGCGGCTTGCTAGACTTCGTACAGCAATCAAGCCATCAACTAGGCAAATAGAAGACTCCGTGCGAGAGGAGTATGACAGCTTGATCAAAGGCCCCAAGCGCAATATAATTGATAAGTGGCTTAATCGATGGATCGCTCTCGCACCCCGCCTAAGGGCATTGAAAATCCTGAACCTAGGCGAGGCACAAGCATGCAGAGGCTTTATCTAAGCTACCGAGACAGTCAATCAAGCGTTCTACCACAGCACAATGGCTTTCCTTGGCCAAGCAGATGCTGAGACTGATCGGATCGATCGGCTTAAGACTGCGCTCGAGATAATGCGAGATAACCTCCAAGGAGCCAGCGAGAATGATGATTCAGCCAATACCTTGCAATCTAACCCAGCTTGGCACACGGCTTTCAACAATCAAATTGAGTTGATGAAAGATGATCGCGATCCAAATAAGCTCACGCTAGCTAGCCTTATAGGCCGGTTCAAAGCAATGCAACCAAGTAAGCAAAGCTTAAAACAGCAGGCGAGGGCTTCATATGCTACTTTTCAAGGCCGCAAGCACGAACGCGATGATAGCGATACGCAAGGCGATCAATCAGATGACTCAGACCGCACAACACAGCCAAGCAAAAAGCGGAAGTCAAGCAACAAGCCAAGAAACAAGCCGAGCAAAAAGTCAGCAGCTAACAAGCAGCTCAAATGCATATGTGGCAGAAACCATAGCTATGATATGTGCTACTACTTAGCACCACATCTAGCTACCACTGGCTGGAAGGCCAAAGAAGCTGTACAAGCAAGAATCATCAGCTCACTCTAGGGCAATCAAAAGCTGAACAGCGCTGTACAAACAGCCCTGCATAAGGCCAATATTGAACTTCCTGATTGGTACCCAAAATTAGACACAAGCAAGCCTAAGACTATAATGTCAGCAGGCCGAGCAGCATTTGCTATATAGAGACAAGCGATGTCAACGGAAGCGTTTCCAACTAACACAAGCTTATTCCGACTTGATTCCTGCTCAAATACACATGTATGCAATGATCGAGATCGTTTTACCTCTTTCAAGCCAAATAGCGCTGAACGGATTGAAGTGGGTGACACTTACACTGTATTTGAGGGTACAGGGACTGTTACAATAGCTGTAAATGGAGTACAAGGCCTGCAGCTGATTGACCTCATTGATGTCGCTTACTGCCCGGGGTTTCATACCAATCTGGTATCCTACCTAAAGCTCAAGGCCAAAGGGGTACGATGGAATGACGAGATCGGTTGGTTGATGCTGGACCACAAGCGATATATCGAGGTGTATGACCAAGATGGATGGCCAATCATTGAGAAACCTCAGGAATCAAGGCAACAATCTGATGGAGGCCGCCAAGTAATGGCCAGTACAAAGCAACAGCTATCCTCTGCAGCACCGATCGATTGATGGCACACCAGATTAGGCCACCCGAGCCTCGAGGTGCTTAAGCAATTGACAAGGCACACACAAGGAGTCGAGATCACAGCACAGCCATCTAGGCTAGGCGATCAACTATGTGCTGAATGCGTTCAAGGCCAACAGAGGCAACAACGTCAACGAGCACCTGTCTACCCCGGAAGCTATCCATTTGAGAAGGTCCATTTTGACCTAATCGAGATTGAGCAAGCCTTCAACATTGACCGCTGGGTACTGCATTTCTACTGTGCCTATTCAGGCTTCCACGTAGCATACACGCTGCCAACCAAAAACAGTCACCAGCTAGTATTAGCGACAGAGTCGTTCATCAAGCTAACACAAGCATGGGGATATACCATCCGTCAGTTACAATCAGATAACGAGAAAGCGCTTACTGTAGAATGGTTCGAGCTACTGCGATTGAATGGAATCACACATCGCCCAGCAGCACCATATACACCAGATCAAAACGGTGCCGCTGAACGATCTGGGGGGGTGATAACAATGATAGCTCGAAAGATCTATCTCGAATCAAAGCTTCCAATCAACCTATGGCCATACTTCATCGACCATGCTGTACGGATAGTCAACCGCCTCCCTATGCAACGCAAGGGATGGATTACACCGTACGAGATAGTACATGGTAGACAGCCAAATCTAGCCGGATACAAAACGATCGGTTCAAAGGCATATGTCCTAGTCAAGAGCAAGAAAGAGAGACCTAGGTTGCACAAGCTACGCAGCAAATCGATCATTGGCTACCTGCTAGGCGTTGAATCAGCAAACATCTTTATCATCTGGCTACCACAACTAATGCGAGCTATCTACGCGAGAGATGTTGTTATTGATGAGAAGCAGCGGTACCAAGCGAGCAGTGCAGACAGCGAACAAGGCATAAACCTCCCTGAGCTGGCAGCGGTTGCGAACGAGATCGATATCAGCGATAGTGAGCTTGATCAATCGCTAAGCTTAGAGTACAATAAGCCACTAGACACAGTGGTACAGCAGCCTGATCGGCCTCAGGCGCCACTGACGCCAATAGATGACCTCGAAGAGACGACAGAGTTTCAAGCAGAGCCTCAAGCAGAGCCTCAAGCAGAGCCTCCTATCGAGTCAACTAGGCTGCCGTCGCCGGCACCGACCGCAAGCATCCAGCAGCAACAGCGGCGGCCACAGCCAACAGCGATCGATGCACTTAGAAACCTGCGTACCAGCTCAGGTCGTACAATTATCCAATCGAGTAAGGCACGGCAAGCGACTCAAAGTGCTCAAGCTATCAAACGATCAAGAACCGACTCAGAGGATAGAGCTAGCAGACACAGCTATGCGATCAAGCGTTTGAGACTCGACTCAGGAGTACGCCAAGCATTTGCAGCGGCAGCAGCACACTCGATCAGACCGCACGTGACACAGCTCAAGCCACCGCCGGATAATTGGCGACAGATGCTCAAACATCCTGAAGCACAAGGCTTCAGAGCAGCAGCTCAGGCTGAGATCGATCAATTACGTGAGAATGACACCTGGCAAGAGGTACCAGTACCTCAAGAGCATCAAGTACTACCTCTCAAATGGGTGTTCACCTACAAGCTCGACCCAGAAGGATACCTTGTAAGGTATAAAGCGAGACTATGTGTGCGAGGCGATCTGCAATAGCCAACATATGAGGACATCTATGCAGCAACAGGTGCCTATCGTACGCTACGCATCCTTCTTGCAATTGTCGCGGCATTCGACCTTATCTGCGAGAAAGGCGATATCAAGAACGCGTTTACAAAAGCACCAATCGATACACCCATCTATACACACACAGCACCTGGCTTTAAATCAGCAGGCAAAGCATACAAGTTGCAGAAGGCGCTGTACGGCCTCAAGATCTCGCCGAAGCTATGGTACACCGAGTTAGCTACCAAGCTCAACTCGCTCGGATTCCAGCCATGCCCTGATGAGCTTTGCTTGTTCATCAACAAAGCGACGGAAGTGCTAATCTTTATATATGTCGACGACCTACTATTTATAGCACATCCATCGCGCCGAGCAAGCCTCGACCAGCTGCAGCGCGATCTTAATGACAAGTACGGGATACAAGGCCTTGGTCCGGCGACCTCATTCTTGAACATCCGCATCATCCGAGACCGAAAGTCAAGATCGATCTACTTATTACAAGACGCGTATATTGATAAGATAGCATACAAGTTCAAGCAATCAAAATCAGCTAAGACACCGCTATCGACCTGTCAACTCGAGCCTTACTCAGGCACGGCAACACCTGAACAAACCATGGGTTATCAGCAACGTATTGGCTCAGCACTATATGCAGCTGTTGTTACCCGGCCTGATATAGCATTTGCAGCTAGCCTACTTGCCCAATTCAGCCAGAACCCATCACCACAGCACATTGCTGAGGCAGATCATATGATCGCCTACTTGCACAGCACAAAGTACCTTGCATTGCAGTACAGCGCTAAGCACAACAGCGATTCTAGTGATACAGCTAGATCAACCACACTCCAAGTAGCGAGCGATGCGTCATTTGCAGATGACTCCAATACAAGGCGCTCATCACAAGGTTACTTGATATCGCTGTTCAATAGACCGATAGCTTGGCAAGCAAGCAAGCAAAAGACAGTAACTACATCTACCACCGAGGCAGAGTTACTATCTCTCTCGCACACAGCACGAGAAACAATAAGCCTAATTAGGCTATTTGAACAAATCGGGCTAGATATCGAACATCAGCCAACCATCCTTTGTGACAATCAGCAAACCGTTAAGCTGATAAATAGCGAGCGGCCTCAGCTGACCACCAAACTCAAGCATGTTGATATACACCATCATTGGCTACGCCAAGAGCAGCAAGCTAGCTCAGTCAAGGTGAATTGGGTACCGACAAGCATGATGCCAGCAGATGGGTTGACCAAGCGACTGAACCGATCTAAACAAGCAGCATTTATTGAGGCACTTGGCATGATCGATGTAGCCGATCAACTTGAATCAAGCGACCACCACAATGGCTATGATTCAGATAGCAGCAGCAGCAGCTATGATAGCAAAATAGCACGCTAGCTAGCAAGCTAATATAGAGCTACCTTCTCCTGTTTATCCTACTAGGTTTAAGGAGTTTAACGGCGCTCTTGAGGCAATCCAATCGATAGATCTATAGAAATTAAAAGATCTAGATCGATTAGACTGGGGGGGTGTGTCACAGGTCACGTGCACCTGACTAATCTAGCGCCTTATTTAGCCATCGCTTGAGCGAGATCACTTAAGAAGATACAACCACAACCACAATGGTCTCACACACTGCAGATAGTCAATAAAAGGACCACCTCCTATCCTCTCAATTATCTAGTTTTCCATCCATCTATCATCTTCTGTAGCTCGTTAATACGCCGCGCACAGCAGTCCTCAGCACTGCCTAGCATCGCTAGTGCCACAGTGCGACAGTACCTCTGTTACGAAGGTAACACGTGACAAAAGCAAGGAAGCAAATATGATTGGTTCTTGGGAGAAGAACCAATAGCAGATGCAGGATCTCTCATTCGGTCTTGGCAATGAGAATTCTCATACGTCTCATGGCATGAGAATGATGAGAATTCTCATGCGTCTCATGGCATGAGAATAATGAGAAGGATTTTCCTATGTCTATAAAATAGTGGCTTCGCTCTCGTTTTCAGCAGACTGTAGTTTAACTGTCTAGTATATCTAGTAGTTAGTTTGAACATTCTCTCATACTTGAAGCTCATACTACTCTAAGTCATAAAACTTGGACTAACTTATTCCTCTTCCTTTCTGAATAAGTCCCAGTCCCATATTGTTCCCTTTGCTCTAGGAAGCCAACCCCTTCCGAAGTGGCTTACATTAGTGAAGCTAGTCAGTATTGGGACAGTGTTCCTAACAACCTCTTAATTAAGGGCCTGTTAGGCTGAAGCCAGTTCTGATTATCTGACCCAACCAGAGCTCTGTAAAGCTGGCTGGGGAAAGACTAATCCTAAAACACCATAATCAAGCTGCTTGTGGTTTGGTTCTCAGTGTGGCTACTTACTCCGCTTAGTATGTCCTTTGTTCCATAGATCATATTACATTGCTTCCCTGTGCCACAAGCCAATGAAATTAAGTCAATAACCACACTAGGCTCATGATTGTTCGATCAGATTTTCAATTCTAAACACAGCCGATAATAATATGCAGAGAAATTACTGGTCAGCGAGCCCGCACGTGACTTAACCAGAAGGTCTCGTTTACCTTGAGATCTAATTTATCACGCTGATAGGTTTGTGAAGGATAGTGAAGCATAGATGAACAAACGTAAAGAACTGAAAATACGCTAGTTCCGCCTATATCTCAGATTATCTGCGCTACTGGTGCAATTCATTGCTCCTCACCTAACCAGTCTATCTAAAGGACTGTAGGATCCAGCATCTCGCCCATTCGCAATAATTTGATGCTTGGCTTAGACACTTCTTCTGCTACTGCCGAACATGCCTTTCTCTTCCTAGCCTCTTTCTCAGCTGTCTTAGCTTCTTGCTCGGCTTTTCGAGCTTCTGTTTCCGCCTTCTTCTTTTCTCTCTCAACCTTCTTGTTCTCTTTTGCCTCCTTTTTAGCAGCAAGCTCTGTTGTTGCCTTGGCTATGTCCTCCCAGGCCATGGCCTTTGCCTTTCCCACGATATTATACTTTGTGGATTAGCGCTTTTTGCCCTCGTTGTTGATCTGAGCTAGAAATTTATTTTCCCCTGGATGATAGCACGTTCTGCAAAGCAGAATTGGGTACCTTTGAGAAGCTTCTGTAGCAGCTTATCCTTGTAATGCCTATTTACTTTGTTATTGGGTATATGTTTCTCCGCATTATAGAGGGTCGTAGCAGCTTCTGCTGATACTGGCGTTATAGGCGTTATCGGCACCTCATCGTGCATGAGGCACTTCCTTCACGGTGAGTCCCGGGTGTAAGGAATTGGTGATAGGAGTGTGAGATAGATTGTAGGATTCAAGAATATCCGCTAGCTCTCGAACGTATGTCCTCGAGCTGCCTTAAATACACAGGCGCGCAGGGGCCGCGTAGGCGTCTCATCTTCTTACCGTTGGGGTTTCAACCCGTTTCGCACCAGTCTCGAATATATAAGTAGTCATGCGATAGCTATGTGTGCTTTTACTCCCCGTGGCGCCCGCGCCACGCTGCTGTCACGCCGTTCGTGACACCGGGTCTGTCAGTTCACGCAGAGGCTTCAGAATGTTACTCAGTACCTTGTCGGGGTTGAAGGGATATAAACTCGCCTTAGACCACCCAGCTCGTATATTGCGAGATGTAAACGCCTTGGTTCTTACAGGGCTGTAGAGATAGGTGAAATGCTCTTTACCGATAGTTCTGACACAACCTCACTCTAAGCGTTCAACCTGCTAGCGATAGGCTATCTTTAAAGAGCTGAACACTGAAACGTCACAAGACTGGAGTTTATGTGATATATGGGAGGGTATTCGGCAGAGGATAATGTTATTGTTGAAATAATACTGGATAATCTCCAGTGTTTCATGCGTCCTGAAGCCATCTCTAATTAGTACAGTAGAACCTACGATATAGCGATGCATTCTAGACCGGCTTATTCTAACGATATTGCGAGACTATCGATGTAATGAGGTTTCTTGGCATTATCTAGCACTATGTAAGCCATCCTGCAATGGTTGATTGCCTCATCTGTTCAACCAATGTCTGGCTTAGATGACGCTCAAATCGTTGCAGGAAGCGAAGATCTTGGTGTTGAGTCTTTTGGTCATGCTCTATATAGCGACAGACGAGCTGTATAGCCTCAACAGCTTCTGAGATGGCAGGCAAGATTATTGGTGGTGGTTCAACATCCTTTAGGATGGCATCCTCATCTGCATGGTCAACATGAATATGCCGCTCAATAATTGCCTCCAAAGTATCCTCCTCATCTACCTGACGTTCAGCATCCTCGCCTTCTGGGTTGAGGATGTGATGAGTATCTATCACGCCATTGATTCTTGCTGAGAGATCATGGATCTCACTGTCGATAGTTGGTGTAATTGGCATTGGCAGATTGATTGATGGCTTTATCACTGTGCTTTTGTAAAAGCAGTGATAGATAGTTATATTGAGTACATCATCATTCTATGCCTTTAAACACTAATGCAAGGTCTCATTTAGAGTCACGCTGGTGAAAGGATTAATGCCTTGATTAAAGCATTGGATGATGAATCGGATCTGTTGCTTGCGATAGAATATCTTGAGGTTCTGAATAATACCCTGATCAAGAGGTTGGAAGATGCTTATTGAGTTCTTTGGAAGCCATATAATATATACATTAGATGGCGGTGGTCTCTCTTCGATGGCATTGACGTGTGCCTTAAGGTTATCTATAATAAGGATAACTGATCTTATTCCAATGTGATCATAAAATGCTGCCAGCCATTGAATCATAATGTCTATGTTCATCCAGGCCTTTTTGCTGTGTCGCCATTGGCAGCCGAGAGCAGCATAATTAAGACCTTTCAATGCCCGAGGCTGTTTTGCATGGCCTATAAACCATATAGGATAACGATCTGAGCCACCTGTATTAGTGTATATCACCAAGGTTATCCTGCTCCTGTTAGCTTTTTTACCAGGCATTGGTGCTGTGGTAAGGCCTTGATTGACAGCACTCCGCCAAAAGAGGCCTGTCTTGTCCATGCTATATATGTTATCCTCCTTATACTCTCTGCACACTGTACCAATAGCCACTATCTCTTGCTCTGATGTTGCAGGCACTGGTGTTGCTTCACTGTGTTGTACTCGTTGCCAGAAATTGTTACGTTGCTTAAACTTATCGAGCTAACAAGTGCTGAACTGAGACTTAGGATCGTTCTGATACTGAGGAATTTGATGCCATATCTCTCTCGCTTTTGCAATAAAAATATCACTGTTGGTTGAAATGCCTTTTGATTCGATGCTCTTCTGATATTCGTTGGCAACCTGGCTTTTCGGTTTCGACGCCCATCCGAATGAGGTTTTGAATCTAGCGATAAATATCGATCACTAAGGCTTTCAGAAACAGTAGATTGTGAAATCTTCTGATTGCTATTAGCCTCAAACCATTCAATGCAGGCTTTTTGGGTAGGTAGTGGTTGTTGCGACCGATACCATTCTCGTAAACCCTTCCTCTGTGCCTTTGATCATCTTGTTTCTTGAGGCTTTTGGCATTTTTGTTATGACGATAATGATGCTTTAGATGAACGATATCCTAAATAGTGAGAAATAACGATAATTGCTAAGGATTTAGATGAGGATGTGGTGGTGGTAACAATAATGCGAGATTATCGTTCTAACGAAGTCGGTCTTGGCGAAGTTCTACTGTATTTATGCACAGGAGGACGATTGAATTTCAAAACTTGGCTGTTGTTGACGTGCTGGTTTGCGCACGGACGTCAATCAGGACCAACTCTGATTGACGTCTATGCGCATCACCAGCTAAGGGTGGCTTTGGCTTGACTTGACTTGACTTGAATTCCTACTCGGATGTTGTCAATGTCCGTGCGGAGGATCACGGGAATGATGAATGATGCACAAGTCGGACCGTAAGCTTGTCTAGTTCATTCTATGTTGTCTGGACTGATGGGATTGTATGATGATTCTGCGGTCCCCTACCCCTGGCTCTCCTCTCTTATGCAGCCAGCGTTTCCTCATGCCACGTGATTTTAGCACGTGCATAAGTTAAGTTAACGTAATCCACCATCGAGCGCTCAAAAAAGACCACAACAGCGAGAACGTGAACTCTTGGTATCTAGTAGTGCTAACTGAGCATACACACTCCTCTACCTAGTAGTTAGACGAATTGACAGGCCTGACGCGGCGCCCAACGCGTGAAAAACAGGTATGTCGATTCCCTGGCCCAGGGGGGAGTCCTGGTCAAACAGACTGCCAGAGTACGCTACCCAACTAGCGAAGCACCTTCAAGCGGCAGCGCAATTCGTACACAGCATGTCCAGCCGCACTGTTGAACTGGACTCGGTAAAATTGATAATCTTCACAGCCCTCAACTTCATGACGAAGGTACAACAGGCCCTGGATCTCGTCCATGTCCATGATGCAGTCTGTGCTATCCAAATGCAGCTCCAAATAGGGATAGAAGACTCAGCGAGAGAACTAGCGATGATAAAAGAGGAAATACGCGGCCTTACTATAGAAGCCCAAAAGACAGCAATCATCAGCGAAGAGGCAAAAGCAGCGGCCCTCGAGGCAGCGGCGATTAGCAGGACCACAGCGGACATCGCGAAGGACATTAAGAACAAAGGAATACAACCCCAGGAAGGGACACCTATGAACTACGCTGCGGCGGCAGCCAGAGGCGCTCACAGCGTACAGACGCATAAGCAAAGGATGCCTCCCACCGCGCCGACCCAGCGGGAGATCATAGTGAACATCAGGGACAGCCACACGATCGAACGACTATGAGCAATGAACCCGCGGACTCTTAAAACGCACATCAACTATGCGATTACCTAAAGCGAGAACGAACACATCACAGGTATCACTATAATGTCAGCCAACCAATTGAAGAGCGGAGACCTCAGTATCCAAACAACAACAGGTAAGGAGACCCAACTCCTGCGGCAATTCACAGACGACTGGGTAGCACGAGTTGGCAGCGGGTCCTCGGTCAGGAACCCGACCTACAGCATCTTAGTACACGGCATACGGGTTAGTACAGTCAACATGGACAAGCAGGAGGACATGAGAAATGCCATCCTACAAGACAATAAACCGTTTATCCCAAATACAGAGATCAAATACATCAGATAGCTTATCTAGCGGGCACCAAGCAAAGCGATGTCATCAATTATTATAGAGTTCATAAGGCCAGAGGATGCTAATAAGATTATCGATAAGGGCCTAGTGTGGCAAGAAGAGATATACCAGAGCGAGCGCTATGAATGGCAGTGCCGCCTGAAGCAGTGTTTCAAGTGTCAGGCATATGGCCATATAGGAACCCAATGCAAAGCAGTAAAGACATGTGGCTACTGCGCGCTAGAACATGACTCAAGGGACTGCCCATCAAAAGGAGACCGGAACGCCTCCAGAAAATGTGCAGCATGCCGCGGTACACACGAGGCGTGGAACCGCCTGTGCCCAACCAGGAAAAACGAGCTGGCCAAGGTAAGGGTGGCCTACGCCAATAGGCCGCGATACCATGCGGTTGCGCCAACAACGGGAAGTGACTCACCAGCTGCTGCTGCGGGCCCCACACTGCGGAGGACAAGGTCAACATGGGACACGAAAACGACCCAAGCCTCCGCGAGAGGCCAGAAGAGGGCAGCGCCGGAGGGGAAAGAAAACGAGGAGTCGAATCAGCGACCTCAGAGGCCACTAAAGCCTAGCAGGAAAGCGCTGGAAATGATAGACTCAAATATCATAATATGCTGCAGCACCTAAAACATGGACCTCGATAGCGACAGTGACTAATAATAAAATAAAACCAACTGAAGATACTGCAGTACAATGTCTGTAAATCAAAGAACCAGGTCATGGCAACGCTACTCCGAGACCCAAGCATAGCAACCTATAATATAATAGCTATCCAAGAACCCTGGCGCAATCCATTCGAGGACACGACACACCACCCAGCAAAGAACACCTTCCACCTATGCTATCCAACGGACAGCACTAAGGAATACCCGGCGCGGGTATGCTTCTTCATCAACAAGCGCCTAGACCATGCCCGCTGGCAAATCGAACAATGCATGCAAGACCTATACACACTACGGATCCTCATAGGTGAAGAGGCAGCAGAAAATGAACTAATATTGCATAATATATACAACCCAGGCCAAGGCGAAGACCAGGCAGCCACCCTCCCAGTATTATGAGCCCAGCTAGAGAAACACGCTACAAAAGAGCAGATAGCGCTCAGTGACTTCAACCTACACTACCAAATATAGGGAGGCCTAGGAGTTATAAGAGAAGAGCCAGAGTCAGAGGAACTCATCGAGATTATGGACGACCTCAATATGATAAATGTGCTGGAACCAGGCACAATCACGTTTAACAACGGCCTTAGCCAGATGACCATAGACCTCTGTTGGATGACGCTAGGTCTGGTCGACCAGATAGTCCGCTGTGGGATAGATGAGGATATTAACCACGACTCTGACCACCTACCGATCAGCACCACGCTAGATATGAGGATCTGGACGATGGAACCCAAACCCAAACGCCAGTGGAAACACCTGGATGAGGAAAAGTTCTGCAAGGCTCTAAAGGAGGTCCTCACACCCAAGCGCAGGCCAGACACAAAGAAAGCGCTAGACGAGTATGTCCAGCACATTGTCACCGCAATCCACACAGCGACAGAAAGGGTCCTACCTCTGAGGAGACCTAGCCCTAAGATGAAGGAGGGGTGGGACGACACATGCTGAGAAACACTTGCAGAAATGAAGCGCCTCCGCAGAAGGTACTCCCGGCGGCTGACGGCCGAAGCGTGGAAGGACCATCAAGAAGGTAGGAAACTCAAGGGCAAGACCATCGCAAGAGCACTCCAAAAAGCACACAGAGACCGGGTGACAAAAGCGGCGAGCTCGGCTGAGTCACTATGGAAGGTCGCAAAATGGGCACGCAACAGGGGTAACCAAGCCCCAAGCATCACACCCACAATATGGAGGCCTGATGCCCCAGGGGACACCCTAGCAATAGAACCACAAGGAAAGGCAGATATATTCAAAGAGACCTTCTTCCCGCCCCTGCTGGAGGCGGATCTGAGTGATATAGAAGGGGCATCCTATTCAGGGCAGGTACAGATGCCAAAGGTTACCAGAAAGGAAGTATTGGAGGCAATCCATGCAGCAGCCCCGCTAAAGGCCCCAGGGCCAGATGGGATATCTAACAGGGCACTACAGGCAGCTGCAGGAATGCTGGTACCGTTCCTCATGACCACCATCAACCAAAGCCTAAAATTAGGCTACTGTCCGGTCCACTTCTGTGAGTTGACCATAGTGGTTTTGCGAAAGCCTGGAAAGGATGACTATATAACCCTTAAAGTGTACCGCCCGATCGCACTATTAAACATGATTGGGAAGGTCATGGACGCAGTCATCGCCCGGCGACTTAGCTTTCTGGTAGAGGAATACCAGGTGCTCCCCAGCTGACACGTTGGGGGCTGAAAACTGCGGTCTATAGAATATGCGATACATGCTATAATTGAATGTATTTATAAAGCATGGAATAAAGGTGAAGTGAGAGTAGCTAGCCTTCTCCTTCTGGACGTGATGGGGGCATTTGACAATGTCTCTGCCAAGCGTCTCCTACACAACCTCCAGAAGCGAAAGGTAGATGAAACAATAGTATGCTGGGTTGCGAGCTTCTTGAGCGGCAGGCGCACCAGAATCGTGCTTGATGGATATGAATCTGAGGAGTACCGGATTGAAACGGGTATCCCGCAGGGCTCACCCCTTTCACCTATCTTGTATATCTTCTATAATGCAGATCTTATGGAGGAGTGCGGGATAGAGGATGTGATGACAGTAGGGTACATTGACAACGCTGCGACCCTGGCGTGCGGTGATTCTATGGATGAGATGTGCGGGAAGATTGAACGAGTATTTGAAAAGGCCCACCACTGGGCATAAACCCATGGCGCGAAATTCGCACCAGAAAAGTTCCAGCTAGTGCACTTTACAAGAGCACGGAGCCGCATTGACCTTAAAAGACCGCTAGTAACCCAGGGGGTCACTATCCCGGCTAAGAGTATATATAAGTACCTTGGGGTCATCATGGACCGAAAGCTCAAATGGAAGGAACACGTTGTAGAAATACGCCGGAAAGTCACAAAAATAATCACCGCACTAAATTCCATCAGAGGCTCTACCTGGGGCGTAGGCCTACAAGACATGCGGAAAATCTATAGAGGCACGGTCGTGCCACAGATGATGTACGCATGCTCCGCCTGGTCAAACCCAGGAGGTGCAGATGGTTCATACACGGCCGCCACGCTTAAAACACTCAAGACCCTCCAGGCTCAAGGCGCGAGAGCTATATGTGGGGCGTATAGGGCAACCTCACAGGCGGCCCTGGATATTGAAGCGCACCTGCTCCCTATTGAGCATCAGATATGGAAGCACAACGCGGACACACTAGGCTAGATCCTCATAGTTGACAGCATGCCGGAGCTATCGAACGCCGGTAATGGAGACGACCCCCCCTCCCGACGTAGAACACCACAGATCAGCCCCCTACGCTGGATCGCCCGCCGACTGCAAGAGCAGGGAGCCGTTGATCTTGAAAAGCATGAAAAGATAACGCCATTCATAGCGCCACCATGGCAGCAAGGACCTGTGGTACGGATTTCAACAAATGACGATGAAGCGCGGGCGACCCATGATAGGATCATGGCAGAGGAGGGTTAAGCCTGTATCTATATAGATGGGAGCTGTATTGAGGGCCACACCGGAGCAGCGGCAATATGGCCAATGGAGGGTGAATCAAAAGGGGCCTACATGGGGCCTGAGACCACGTCGACTGTCTATGCCGCAGAACTACAGGGCATCAACCTTGCCCTTGGGATGGTAAAAGACGCGGGTGTAAGGCTAGCCCGTTACAAGCAGGTGCACATATTCACAGACAACCAGGCCGCGATACGCGCCACAATACGACCTGAAGGCCGCTCTGGAGCATACATTACTAAGCAGATTATGCGGCGGCTCAAGCAACTATATAAAGATGGCCATACTATTACCATCCACTGGATCCCGGCTCACGAAGGGATAGACGGTAATGAAGAGGCAGACGTGGCCGCGAAGACCGCCGCAGGGTGGGCAGAAAAAGGCACGGAGACCTGTAGGGCCCCAACGCCTCCCCGCCTACACCCGCTGAGAACCACGCTGAGGACGTGGGTTAATAAGACCGCCCGCACCCGTTGGAATAGGAGCTGGCAACAGGAGACGAAAGGCAGAGCTACATACCGCCACACACCGCTACCAGATAAGAAGGTGCTACAGCTATATAAAGACCTAACTAAGGCCGAGAGCGCCTCCCTTGTATAAATGAGAACTGAGAAAATAGGTCTCCGAGACTTCCTCTTCTTCCGACGCGTACCAGGATTCGAGGACCCAGGATGCCCCTGTGGAGGAGGCCGCCAAACAGTCGGCCACGCGCTCCTGCGATGCCGACTGCTCCAGGACGAACGATGGATTGAATTTAGGAATCTACTGGGCAGAGAGGACCTACGGAAGATCCTCTCAACGCGCAAGCTAGCCACAAAAGCAATCGCACTTATAGAACAGGTAAGGGCCCTAGGGCAGAGGGCGCCGAGCGAGTAGATGAGCAGAGTATTGGGTGGAGACTGAAGGTATCACAGACGGCGAAATATGGGGCATGCCCCTCTGAGCCTATACACAGTGGAATCGTTAGTAGTAGAGCCAGTATTAATAAATGGTGACAGCCATTTTGAAGGTCGAGGCAGATGGTAAGAGGGTGGGCGAAAGAGGAGACTGGCCACGTTTGTCGACTCTTTGAGACTACAAGCGTGGTGAAGAGGGACGTGATGGGTTACATGCCAAGGTTCTCGTTGGTCATGGCCTGTCACGTGTCGGTCACCTGGCGAAGCCCGCCTAACCGGGCATAGCCGCAGATAATTAGCGGCCAAAACCGAGTAGGAAACAATCAATCAATCAATCAATCAGAATCAATGAAAACAATCAATCAATCAATCAATCGGAATCGAATCCGACAATCAAAGGGACCTTTTTTGAAAAGCTTGGAAAACGAGTAGATCATCTACAGCAGGTGGAATCGCGCTATTGTCGACGCGCCGAGACCTTAACGCGCTAACACGTGGCTCGTGCACTATACCCAACCCCATCGGACATCAAGATGGTGGATAGAGAGGAGATAGTGGTGGTGAGCGCTTCAGAAGGGGTGAACACCAGGGGGAAGACACGTACAACATCCAAAAAGAAGGACCAAGCAGGAGCAAACGCCGCTATCCGCCTCCTAGAAACGTGCCAGAAGCTAGTCCAAAGCCAGCAGTCTAAGGGCAAAACAAAGACAATCAGCATTGACAGGAGCCTGTTTGAAGAGCTAATCAACCGAGTCAAACAGTGCGAAAAGATTACTGAGGATAGCCTCAGTTTCGACAGCATAACAGTCAAGCAGTATCTCGAAACCTTCGAGACCAATCTAGTGGAAAGGATCAACTCTTCTGTTACAAACAAGCTATCTGTAGCGTTTGAAAATGCGCAGGTCGGTACAGAGGAAAGGTTGGCAGCCACAGTCGAAAAGTCAATCTAGAATGTAAAAATACCAGCGCCTATGTGGGCTGCCGTTGCCTCACGCGGTATTGCAAGCTCCGCCAGCATCCCACTCTCGCAATCCACAGGAAGTAGCAGCCAGAGCGCGATTGGATCTACCAACTTGCGTATTACCACCCCCCTAGTGCAACAGGAGGAGAGTATAAATGCAGGCACAAAGGAAAAGTTCACGAGATACATAGATGTGAAAGAGGCGACCAACTGGATCACCAGAGCCCTACAAGAGCATGAGACCACGAAGGAAACAGAGATAGCAGGAGTGGGCGTAACAAAGTTTGGCTATGTTATACGCTTTAAAAATGAGAAATCAAAGGAGATAGCCTCGAAACATGATGATTGGTTGGCAGACCTCCATCCAGAGACAAAGATTGATAGACCCCGATATGGCATTGTAGTCCATCGCACCCCAACCGAACAGGTCCAACTAGATGACAAGACAGAGGCGGCAACTAAGCTCCTAGAAGAGAACGACCTCACCTCAAAAGGCTACCGTATCACAGATGTAGCCTGGCTTAAACGCAAAGACGTACCCCTTGGAAAGCATGCCTCGCTAGGAATATGGTTTGACAGCCCTGGTGCGGTTAAGTGGGCAGTGCGCAATGGAGTTCTCTTTGGCAAGCAGTATATTGGCAGCGTCGAGCCATACGAGCCAAGAAGGAAGAGATGCCACCGGTGTGCAAGAATTGGACACCTAGCTTGGAATTGTAAAGAACAAAGAAGATGTGCACACTGCCTGGAAGACCATGACAAGAGCGAATGCCCAGAGGGAACTCAACCTCGATGCGCAGACTGTAACCAAGGACATCATACAGAAGCAGCTGAATGCACCAATCGGGCCACAAGATTTCCACGTTTCCAATAATGACCACCCTACGAATATTACAATTGAACACTATGCGCTCCAGAGCATGCATGGAAGCCCTAATTAACGACACACAGTCAGCGAAGCTTGACATACTCCTAATCCAAGAACCCTCAGTCTCATACTACAAAACACACACACAACACCGA